TTAATTAAAGAGGTTGTTATCGGGCAACAAAGGAAAAAGCTAGCTAGGGTTAAGCAGGCCAATCCAATATGAAAAATTCACGTTAACTTTAATCATTGCAATTTCTTCCGATTAACGGGAATGCTCTAAGAGATGAGGCGCCAAGTCCTGAACTACTTTTTTTTTTCCGAATAAAACTTGTGTTCTTTTGCCAGAAGAATAAAGTTATACTTGTATAAACAATGAAAAGTGTTGCTAGCTTGTACAATTTTTAGAGTATGTACACTCGCATATAGTATGTTACAAATCCGACCTTAGCTCAGTTGGTAGAGCGGAGGACTGTAGTTGAAGCAGAATATCCTTAGGTCACTGGTTCGAATCCGGTAGGTCGGAATTTTGGTTTCTCAAATGTTTTCCATTCGTTAGATGCCGAAAGAAAAATATACATGAAAATGGTTTACCAACGAAATACCGAGAGGCTTACAAGAAAATATGCTCCTAGTAAGTAGTACTTGATTTTCGATGGAGTGTTTAGTCACCTGTTGATGGTACAACAAATGGTCATATACAAAAATCTTAGAGATAGACTTTTTTCATTGAATTTGATAAGACACCAAAACTATAGGACACTAATGAATACTCAAAATGGAAAGATCATTTCATTAAGAGGATCGTTGCATGTGCCAAAAAGCTGTCAACGTTCGCTTAAGGGTAGTGAGATCCCTTTGCCATTTTCTTGCATGAATTTGATGTGTTCATTTTTAATTATTCTATAACAATCGTTGACCACAGGAAAATATTTTCTACATATATAAAATGAAGTTTGATTTAGTAAAATTGGGGTTTAACTTGTAAGTGGTATCCCAGTGAAATAAAACTCCCTATCGATCTACCGATGAATAGAATTAATTCGTAAACTTATTGAGTTTGATTCAGAGAGGTTTCGATGGTTTGTTGCTTATTTCATTTTCACCTAGTTGCTAAAACGAATCAAAGATTTCATAGACTCGTCTATTTGCCTACATTATGGAAAGACACTATCATCCTGCTTAATCTCTTTTAAGATCATGTTTCAATCAAAGAAAAGTGGACGTGCCGGAGTGGTTATCGGGCATGACTAGAAATCATGTGGGCTTTGCCCGCGCAGGTTCGAATCCTGCCGTTCACGTTTTCAGTAAATGTTTTATAAAAGTTCTGATTGATTTCAAGGAAATTTTTATTACCATGTTTTTCCATGCATTCAAGTGGTTAACTATTTTGGATCGTATCAAACTACCATCCAAGTGACTAGCTAACCTTTCTTATAGCACTCTTCATATACATATATAGTTCAATAATTCATGAAAAATTCTTTGTTTTGGTCATCTATACTAAGAAAGTTTAATACTATTAAACCGACCTTAGCTCAGTTGGTAGAGCGGAGGACTGTAGTTGTAGCAGAAAATCCTTAGGTCACTGGTTCGAATCCGGTAGGTCGGAACTCTTTTGCTCAACAACTTTTCATCCTCAGTTAAAAACGGTTTGATATGATATATGCGAGGTAAATTATACTTTGTAGTAGCATATAGTACTGACTTGGGTTTCTAATAGAAATTAGGGCATATTTTTATTTGATCATAATAAGTTATGCAGTTTTGGTTACTTTCCAGACAATCTTCAAAAAACGGTAAGGTAGACAAAAGTGTTGTAGTTATAACTTCTACGTTTAAGGAAGAAATCAAGGTAAGTAAACTCTCATTATCTTGCATTTTCTCCGCCAAAGTGTGTAACTTTGACGGACCATATATAGTATAATTCACATCTTTATCAATGAATATTCTATAAAACGAAACAAGATTTAATTAAAGAGGTTGTTATCGGGCAACAAAGGAAAAAGCTAGCTAGGGTTAAGCAGGCCAATCCAATATGAAAAATTCACGTTAACTTTAATCATTGCAATTTCTTCCGATTAACGGGAATGCTCTAAGAGATGAGGCGCCAAGTCCTGAACTACTTTTTTTTTTCCGAATAAAACTTGTGTTCTTTTGCCAGAAGAATAAAGTTATACTTGTATAAACAATGAAAAGTGTTGCTAGCTTGTACAATTTTTAGAGTATGTACACTCGCATATAGTATGTTACAAATCCGACCTTAGCTCAGTTGGTAGAGCGGAGGACTGTAGTTGAAGCAGAATATCCTTAGGTCACTGGTTCGAATCCGGTAGGTCGGAATTTTGGTTTCTCAAATGTTTTCCATTCGTTAGATGCCGAAAGAAAAATATACATGAAAATGGTTTACCAACGAAATACCGAGAGGCTTACAAGAAAATATGCTCCTAGTAAGTAGTACTTGATTTTCGATGGAGTGTTTAGTCACCTGTTGATGGTACAACAAATGGTCATATACAAAAATCTTAGAGATAGACTTTTTTTCATTGAATTTGATAAGACACCAAAACTATAGGACACTAATGAATACTCAAAATGGAAAGATCATTTCATTAAGAGGATCGTTGCATGTGCCAAAAAGCTGTCAACGTTCGCTTAAGGGTAGTGAGATCCCTTTGCCATTTTCTTGCATGAATTTGATGTGTTCATTTTTAATTATTCTATAACAATCGTTGACCACAGGAAAATATTTTCTACATATATAAAATGAAGTTTGATTTAGTAAAATTGGGGTTTAACTTGTAAGTGGTATCCCAATGAAATAAAACTCCCTATCGATCTACCGATGAATAGAATTGTTCGTAAACTTATTGAGTTTGATTCAGAGAGGTTTCGATGGTTTGTTCCTTATTTCATTTTCACCTAGTTGCTAAAACGAATCAAAGATTTAATAGACTCGTCTATTTGCCTACATTATGGAAAGACACTATCATCCTGCTTAATCTCTTTTAAGATCATGTTTCAATCAAAGAAAAGTGGACGTGCCGGAGTGGTTATCGGGCATGACTAGAAATCATGTGGGCTTTGCCCGCGCAGGTTCGAATCCTGCCGTTCACGTTTTCAGTAAATGTTTTATAAAAGTTCTGATTGATTTCAAGGAAATTTTTATTACCATGTTTTTCCATGCATTCAAGTGGTTAACTATTTTGGATCGTATCAAACTACCATCCAAGTGACTAGCTAACCTTTCTTATAGCACTCTTCATATACATATATAGTTCAATAATTCATGAAAAATTCTTTTGTTTTGGTCATCTATACTAAGAAAGTTTAATACTATTAAACCGACCTTAGCTCAGTTGGTAGAGCGGAGGACTGTAGTTGTTGAAACAACCAACATTTTTTTTTTTTAATAAATATTAATCAATTCTAGCGAAGGTCTTAAAAATAAATTAAATAAATAAAATATCAATAACAAATAAATCAGCTCAGCGGAAGCAAATAATAATTAAACAAGTCTAGCAAAATAATGCAAAACAATAAAACAGTAAACATCCTATCATCCCCCTCTTCAGCCTTGATTCCGCGATCACACAAATCTTTTACCTGCAACACATTGGAATGGAGTTGCGTAAGTATTTAATAAATACTTAGTGAGGCAATCACTCTGCCTACGAGCCATTTACGCAATTTACTAGATATTTAATAATATTTATAAACTTCAATAATTATTAAATACCATTTTCCAATTATTAAATAATTTTTAATAATTAAAACTCAATTTCTCAATTATTAAATAATTCTCATAATTAAATAATAATTTTCCATATTTTAAAATAATTAAAAAATTATTTTAAACCAATTAATTAAATAAATATTATTTAATTAATTAAATCCGAATTAAATCTATTTAATTCCATTAAACCAATTAAATTCAATTAAACCAATTAAACCAATTAAATTCAATTGAACCAAGATAAACCAGAATCAAATCAATTAAATTCAATTAAACCAATAAACCAGATTAAACCACACAAACACACAATTCATCACATGAACAACCAAAATATCATAAAAATAACAATTAAAACATAAACTCATCAAGAACAACCACAAACCAAATCTAATCTAGCAAATCACGGACCCACAGTCATGCACTCACCTTGACAATGATTGAAACTGAAGGAAAAAGGAAGACGATGAACAGTGCCGAATCGCGGATGAACAGTAACCCGTGAACAGTACCGATGAACAGTAACCCGTGAACAGTACCGATGAACAGTACCGATGAACAGTAAAATTCGAAAATCTCTCCAAAAACTCAACTTTTCTCCTCTACAGCATCTGAACTCGAAAATTCTCCAAAGAGAAGACGGCTGCACTCTTTAAACTTGATTTTAGGGCTTTCTCCACTAAACCGACCCAAACCAATTCACTTAAATTGAACCGACAAAATTCCCAATTTTTATTTTTGGTTTATGGATGTTACAACTCTTCCCCACTAAACTGGATTCGTCCTCGAATCCCAACGCAAACGTCACAAAGACCACAAAACCCAACCTCGCAAGGCCGCAACACCGGAGATCCTCACTTGATCCCCGAGACAAACGTCATATCTTATGTCATAAACACGTTCCAAGAAAATTTCACTCCTAACTCATCATCCAAACACACCAAACAACTTGTACTGAGGCCCACTTGCACCCAGACAAGTCCACACCGGTCCGCACTGAGGCCCACTTGCACCCAGACGAACCCGAAAACGTCCATACTGAGGCCCACTTGCACCCAGATGAACTAAACTGCTTATACTGAGGCCTACTTGCACCCATATAAGCTACACTCAACTGAGGCCTACTTGCACCCAGAGAGTCTGCCAGAGAACGAAGTCTCCAAAAACATGATGAGTTATTCAGGATCGCAATCCTTAGAGTAAAAATTCCGGAAAATGTCTATAACCATAAGATTAGACCGTCTCACAACCAAAAACTGGTCAAACATGTGTAACATCCGAATACCTTTTCACAACACAAGGCAAAATGAGGAAAAACTGCATCTCATTAAAACTCCAAAATGTAATCGTTACAACGAAAACGAAAATACAATAACACCAAAGCCAAAAATAACAACTGAGGCTACAAAGATGAAATAAGCTCACTCCTCGACCTGCTTGTCGAACCACTTCCTGAACTTCAACTTCATCTTTGCCTCTGGCTCCCAAGTCTCCTCTGTAGAACCACTGCAATCCCACAAAATCCTCAGTAAGGGAATCCTCTTGTTCCTCAGAACCTTTTCCCTCCTCTCTAAAATCCTCATAGGCACTGCCGGCACTGTCAAATCTGGCTGAAGATCCTCTGGAATCCTAGCCACTAACTCCTCTGTAGGATGAAGACACTTCCTCAGCATCGACACATGAAAAACCTTGTGAAAGGCTTTCATAATCTCAGGCAACTCCAGCCTGTAAGCTAATGGCCCAACTCGCTCCACTACTGGAAACGGACCCATAAATCGCGGACTCAGCTTGTTCTCTGCTATGGATCTGTTAGGACCCCTCAACATAGCCATCTTGAGATAAACTCTATCTCCAACCTGAAACTCAAGCTCTCGTCTGCGTCTATCTGCATAACTCTTCTGCCTATCCTGAGCCTCCTTCATGTTCAGCCTCACAACACGAACCTTCTCTGTCGTCTCCTGAACATAAGTAGCTCCATACATGCTGCGCTCCCCCACTTGGGTCCAGCATAGGGGTGTCCTACATGGCCTCCCATACAAAGCCTCAAATGGAGCCATGCCAATACTCGCCTGAAAGCTGTTGTTGTATGCAAACTCAACTAAGCTTAGGTGATCTGCCCAATGGCCACCCCAATCCAACACACACATCCTCAGCAAATCCTCCAAAGTCTGAATAGTCCTCTCTGACTGACCATCTGTCTGCGGATGATAAGCTGTACTCAGATGCACCTTAGTGCCCATCTCTGCCTGAAACGCCCTCCAAAACTCTGAAGTGAATCTGGGATCACGGTCTGACACAATACTAGCTGGCACTCCATGCAGCCTCACAATCTCTCGCACAAACTTCCTAGCCAAGACAGCAGCTCCATCTGTCTTCTTGATGGCCAAGAAATGTGCAGACTTAGTCAACCGATCCACAATCACCCAGATAGCATCGAAAGTCCTCGAAACAGGTAGTCCAACCACGAAATCCATCGTAATCCTGTCCCACTTCCACTCGGGAATGGGTAAACTCTGCAAAAGACCACCCGGAACCTGATGCTCTGCCTTCACCAAGGCACAAGTGTTGCACTTCGCAACCCATCTGCTACATCCCTCTTCATCCCGACCCAATGATAGTACCTCTTGAGGTCATGGTACATCTTGGTCGCTCCCGGATGAATGGAAAACTTGCTCGCGTGAGCCTCTCCCAAAATCTGATGTCTCAACTCCACATCCTTAGGCACACAAACTCGCCCACGAACCAAGATAGTCCCATTCGCAGAGACCTCATACTCAGAACCAGTCACTCTCGTCGCATCTAGCAAACTCTGATCACTCTGCTGAGCAACTCTGATCCTGCTAAGTAGATCCGCCTGATCCACTGCCTCTAAACCCAAAGGCTCATGCGAAATGGCACACAAACGCAAGGTACTGATCTCGCCAACTAGAGACTCCACATCTCGCTCAACTGCGGAATCATACCTCCGTCTACTCAACGCGTCCGCCACTAGGTTAGCCTTGCCCGGATGGTAGTTAATGCTCACCTGATAATCCGCCAAGAACTCAACCCAGCGCGTCTGTCTCGCGTTCATCATCGGCTGAGTGAAGATATGCTGCAAACTCTTGTGATCCGTGAAGACCTGTACTGTCTCACCTAGCAAGTAAGACCTCCAAATCTTCAACGCGAAGATCACTGCTCCCAACTCTAAGTCATGTGTAGGACGGTTACGCTCACTGCCCTGCCACTGTCTCGAAGCATATGCTATCACTCTGCCCTCCTGCATCAGCACACAACCAAGACCAATGCCTGAAGCATCTGTATACACCATGTAAGGCTTCCCTGGCTCGGGTAACGCCAACACTGGTGTAGTAGTCAACATCTCCTTGAGCTGACTAAAGCTCTCCTCACACTCAGCTGACCAAATAAAAGGGACATCCTTCCCGGTCAACTTCGTCATCGGCTGCGCCATGGTAGCAAACCCCTTGACGAACCTCCTGTAGTATCCTGCCAAACCCAGAAAACTCCTGATCTCGGTGGCACTACTAGGTCTAGGCCAATCTCTGATAGCCTCAATCTTAGCCGGATCCACAGAAACTCCCTCTGCAGAAACAATGTGGCCAAGAAATCCCATCTCTCGCTGCCAGAAACTGCACTTGCTCAACTTAGCGAAAAGCTTCTGCTCCCGAAGCTTCTCCAGAACCAACCTCAAGTGAGTCGCATGCTCCTCCTGACTCCTCGAGTATACCAGAATATCATCAATGAAAATGATGACGAAACACGTCCAAATACTCCCTGAACACGTCGTTCATCAATCTCATGAAGGCTGCCGGCGCGTTAGTCAAACCGAAAGGCATAACCACAAACTCAAAATGCCCATAACGCGTCCTGAAAGCAGTCTTCCTGACATCTGCCTCATCTATCGGGATCTGATGATACCCCGATGCCAAGTCAATCTTGGAGAACCAAGTAGCACCCCTCAACTGATCCAACAACTCATCAATCCTCGGGAGTGGGTACCTGTTCTTCACAGTGACTCGGTTAAGACCTCTGTAATCGATACAAAGTCTGAAACTGCCATCCTTCTTCTTCACAAACAACACCGGTGCTCCCCACGGTGAAACACTCGGTCGAATGAACCCCTTAGACAAAAGGTCCTCTATCTGCTTCTTCAGCTCTGCCAACTCAGCTGGCGCCATCCTGTAAGGCGTCTTCGATATCGGTGCTGTCCCCGGCTCTAACTCAATCGTGAAAGGATCAGACCGAGATGGTGGTAATCCCTTCAGTGACTGAAAGACATCCTCAAAATCCTGGACAACCTCAATATCTCCCATAACAACTCCAGCTCCTGACTCAGACATAGAAATCGTCGCCAGATACGCCTCACAGCCCCGCTCTAACAACTGCTCGGCCTGAATAGCAGATATCACAATACTCCCGGAAGTCGGTCTCACTCCCTGATAAACCAACCTCCCTGCATCTCGCTCGAAGACCACTCTACCTCTGTAGCAATCCAGATGAACTCTGTAGTGTGACAACCAGTCCATCCCGAGAATAACGTCATACAGCTCCACCGGACTGATGACTAAGTCTGCTGGCATTGACTGCCCCGCAATCTCGATCTCGACTCCTCTAGCACGGCCCAAAGTAGACAAGAATCCACCTCCCGCCACCTTGACCATGCCCGCGCTCTCGCCCGCGCTACTCCGGATGCCACTCTTCTCGGCACGCTCCGGTGTAATGAAGCAATTCGATGCTCCAGAGTCGAATAAAACGTGGGACTCAAAACCGCCCACTAACAAGGTCCCTGTGATCTGTCCGGTCTGACTAGTCCCGCCAGTCTCCACCGAAGAGTAACCCCGCGACGCCGGTGCAATCTGACCCAACGGCTGCACTGCTGCGATCTGACTCACTGGCTGAGCCGCTACTGGCTGAACCGAAGCCACCGACATACTCCGCAACTTAGGACACATGGGCTTGATATGCCCAGGCTCCTTGCAGTAGTAGCACATCTCGGTGCTGACTCTCTCTTGGGACAACTCGAAACACGATGCTCCGTGCTCCCACACCCAAAACAGGAACCACGAGGAAACTGACTAGCACCAGAAAACTCCTCTCTACTCCTCTTCTGACCCTGCGCAGGCAAACCGCCCCTGCCAGAACCAGAACTGAAACTCGAACCACCTCTGCGCTGCTGCTGCTGCTGCTGTCGCGGCTGCTGATGCTGACCCCGAGGCTGGGTAGCAGAAGCAACTGCTGACGGCACAGCCGCCGGACCAACTGGCCCACCAAGATCCGCCTCAACCGACGCGGCCAACTCTACCAGACTCGCCCTCGAAGTGTGCATACTACTCCTGCATAGAGTCCGAATATTCTTGCGAAGTCCCTCGAGAAATCTGTTCGTCAACTGATGCTCAGACTCCATACCAAAGCCCGCATGCACTAACAGACGGCTGAACTCCTCATCATACTCGCGTACAGAACGCGAACCCTGCTCAATGCCCATAAACCGCATCTGAAGACGATCACGAGCCTGCCTCGGGAAATACTTGGCGTTGAACTCCACAAGGAAGTCGCCCCAAGTCCAAAATGCCCTCCGGCCCACCGCGGCCTGCCACCACAAATGAGCATCGCCACTCAAATAGTGGACCGCTAACTCCACCCAGTACTCTATCGGACAACGGATCGAATGAAAGTTCCGCTCCACTCTCTGACGCCACGCGTCTGCCTCCTCTGGACCAACTCTACCCTCGAAGAAAGGCGTACCAATCTTCTGCATGTGGCCCATAAACTCCAAATAACTGGTCACACCCGCATCCACAGCCTCCGGCTGCGCAACGCCTGCAGCAACATGCTGCACCTCTGCCACTGGCGGTACTCCTGGAGCCCCCTGTGGAACCACCGGCGGAAAACGAGCCAACAGCTGCGTCAGCAAACCCACCACTAAGTCATCATGACCCGGAGCCGGAGCGCCACCCCCACCCGGAGCAGCCCCCGCTCCCATACCAACACTCGCACTGGCATCACCCGCCAACGGAACTGACTGGGTCACCGACGCAGTATGCACACTCGGTGCCGCACTCTCTCCCGACTCCTCCGGAAGTCCACGACCACGACCTCGGCCTGCTCGACCTCCAGCTCTACCACCAGCTCTGCCGCCACGGCCAACTCTGCCGCCACGACCTCTAGCACCGCGCCCTCTCGCGCCACGACCTCTAGGAGCTCCGTCCATCTCACTGCATGGACCCGAACATGAGCAACTAGACAATAACACAAAACACAAACACCAATAACTAACCGCGGAATCTCCTTTAGCTGAAGGGGATGATACTAAGCCTAGCAATTCTAGCTGTCCTAAAACCGTCTAGGCTCTGATACCAAAATGAAACAACCAACATTTTTTTTTTTTTTTTAATAAATATTAATCAATTCTAGCGAAGGTCTTAAAAAAAATTAAATAAATAAAATATCAATAACAAATAAATCAGCTCAGCGGAAGCAAATAATAATTAAACAAGTCTAGCAAAATAATGCAAAACAATAAAACAGTAAACATCCTATCATCCCCCTCTTCAGCCTTGATTCCGCGATCACACAAATCTTTTACCTGCAACACATTGGAATGGAGTTGCGTAAGTATTTAATAAATACTTAGTGAGGCAATCACTCTGCCTACGAGCCATTTACGCAATTTACTAGATATTTAATAATATTTATAAACTTCAATAATTATTAAATACCATTTTCCAATTATTAAATAATTTTTAATAATTAAAACTCAATTTCTCAATTATTAAATAATTCTCATAATTAAATAATAATTTTCCGTATTTTAAAATAATTAAAATAATTATTCTAAACCAATTAATTAAATAAATATTATTTAATTAATTAAATCCGAATTAAATCTATTTAATTCCATTAAACCAATTAAATTCAATTAAACCAATATAAACCAATTAAATTCAATTGAACCAATATAAACCAATTAAATTCAATTAAATTTAATTAAACCAATAAACCATATTAAACCACACAAACACACAATTCATCACATGAACAACCAAAATATCATGAAAAATAACAATTAAAACATAAACTCATCAAGAACAACCACAAACCAAATCTAATCTAGCAAATCACGGACCCACAGTCATGCACTCACCTTGACAATTGATTGAAACTGAAGGAAAAAGGAAGACGATGAACAGTGCCGAATCGCGGATGAACAGTAACCCGTGAACAGTACCGATGAACAGTAACCCGTGAACAGTACCGATGAACAGTAACCCGTGAACAGTACCGATGAACAGTACCGATGAACAGTAAAATTCGAAAATCTCTCCAAAAACTCAACTTTTCTCCTCTACAGCATCTGAACTCGAAAATTCTCCAAAGAGAAGACGGCTGCACTCTTTAAACTTGATTTTAGGGCTTTCTCCACTAAACCGACCCAAACCAATTCACTTAAATTGAACCGACAAAATTCCCAATTTTTATTTTTGGTTTATGGATGTTACATTTGTAGCAGAAAATCCTTAGGTCACTGGTTCGAATCCGGTAGATCGGAACTCTTTTGCTCAACAACTTTTCATCCTCAGTTAGAAACGGTTTGATATGATATATGCGAGGTAAGTTATATTTTGTAGTAGCATATAGTACTGACTTGGGTTTCTAATAGAAATTAGGGCATATTTTTATTTGATCATAATAAGTTATGCAGTTTTGGTTTCTTTCCAGACAATCTTCAAAAAACGGTAAGGTAGACAAAAGTGTTGTAGTTATAACTTCTACGTTTAAGGAAGAAATCAAGGTAAGTAAACTCTCATTATCTTTCATCTTCTCTGCCAAAGTGTGTAACTTTGACGGACCATATATATTATAATTCACATCTTTATCAATGAAAATTCTATAAAACGAAACAAGATTTAATTAAAGAGGTTGTTATCAGGCAACAAAGGAAAAAGCTAGCTAGGGTTAAGCAGGCCAATCCAATATGAAAAATTCACGTTAACTTTAATCATTGCAATTTCTTCCGATTAACGGGAATGCTCTAAGAGATGAGGCGCCAAGTCCTGAACTACTTTTTTTTTCCGAATAAAACTTGTGTTCTTTTGCCAGAAGAATAAAGTTATACTTGTATAAACAATGAAAAGTGTTGCTAGCTTGTACAATTTTTAGAGTATGTACACTCGCATATAGTATGTTACAAATCCGACCTTAGCTCAGTTGGTAGAGCGGAGGACTGTAGTTGAAGCAGAATATCCTTCGGTCACTGGTTCGAATCCGGTAGGTCGGAATTTTGGTTTCTCAAATGTTTTCCATTCGTTAGATGCCGAAAGAAAAATATACATGAAAATGGTTTACCAACGAAATACCGAGAGGCTTACAAGAAAATATGCTCCTAGTAAGTAGTACTTAATTTTCGATGGAGTGTTTAGTCACCTGTTAATGGTACAACAAATGGTCATATACAAAAATCTTAGAGATAGACTTTTTTCATTGAATTTGATAAGACACCAAAACTATAGGACACTAATGAATACTCAAAATGGAAAGATCATTTCATTAAGAGGATCGTTGCATGTGCCAAAAAGCTGTCAACGTTCGCTTAAGGGTAGTGAGATCCCTTTGCCATTTTCTTGCATGAATTTGATGTGTTCATTTTTAATTATTCTATAACAATCGTTGACCACAGGAAAATATTTTCTACATATATAAAATGAAGTTTGATTTAGTAAAATTGGGGTTTAACTTGTAAGTGGTATCCCAGTGAAATTAAACTCCCTATCGATCTACCGATGAATAGAATTGTTCGTAAACTTATTGAGTTTGATTCAGAGAGGTTTCGATGGTTTGTTGCTTATTTCATTTTCACCTAGTTGCTAAAACGAATCAAAGATTTCATAGACTCGTCTATTTGCCTACATTATGGAAAGACACTATCATCCTGCTTAATCTCTTTTAAGATCATGTTTCAATCAAAGAAAAGTGGACGTGCCGGAGTGGTTATCGGGCATGACTAGAAATCATGTGGGCTTTGCCCGCGCAGGTTCGAATCCTGCCGTTCACGTTTTCAGTAAATGTTTTATAAATGTTCTGATTGATTTCAAGGAAATTTTTATTACCACGTTTTTCCATGCATTCAAGTGGTTAACTATTTTGGATCGTATCAAACTACCATCCAAGTGACTAGCTAACCTTTCTTATAGCACTCTTCATATACATATATAGTTCAATAATTCATAAGAAATTCTTTTGTTTTAGTCATCTATACTAAGAAAGTTTAATACTATTAAACCGACCTTAGCTCAGTTGGTAGAGCGGAGGACTGTAGTTGTAGCAGAAAATCCTTAGGTCACTGGTTCGAATCCGGTAGGTCGGAACTTTTTTGCTCAACAACTTTTCATCCTCAGTTAGAAACGGTTTGATATGATTTATGCGAGGTAAATTATATTTTGTAGTAGCATATAGTACTGACTTGGGTTTCTAATAGAAATTAGGGCATATTTTTATTTGATCATAATAAGTTATGCAGTTTTGGTTTCTTTCCAGACAATCTTCAAAAAATGGTAAGGTAGACAAAAGTGTTGTAGTTATAACTTCTACGTTTAAGGAAGAAATCAAGGTAAGTAAACTATCATTATCTTGCATCTTCTCCGCCAAAGTGTGTAACTTTGACGGACCATATATAGTATAATTCACATCTTTATCAATGAATATTCTATAAAACGAAACAAGATTTAATTAAAGAGGTTGTTATCGGGCAACAAAGGAAAAAGCTAGCTAGGGTTAAGCAGGCCAATCCAATATGAAAAATTCACGTTAACTTTAATCATTGCAATTTCTTCCGATTAACGGGAATGCTCTAAGAGATGAGGCGCCAAGTCCTGAACTACTTTTTTTTTTTCCGAATAAAACTTGTGTTCTTTTGCCAGAAGAATAAAGTTATACTTGTATAAACAATGAAAAGTGTTGCTAGCTTGTACAATTTTTAGAGTATGTACACTCGCATATAGTATGTTACAAATCCGACCTTAGCTCAGTTGGTAGAGCGGAGGACTGTAGTTGAAGCAGAATATCCTTAGGTCACTGGTTCGAATCCGGTAGGTCGGAATTTTGGTTTCTCAAATGTTTTCCATTCGTTAGATGCCGAAAGAAAAATATACATGAAAATGGTTTACCAACGAAATACCGAGAGGCTTACAAGAAAATATGCTCCTAGTAAGTAGTACTT